GGCTGTCGCCATGGACAGATTGAATAGGCGAGCTAACGGGGCAGCCAGGATATTCCCTAGAGGCCCAAGCAGTGCCGGGTGGATTTCGTCCGGTCCCACCGCTTTTTCCCTATCTAAAATCACCAGAGTATTTTCCACCTCGTCCGGTAGGAAAATGATTTCCTCCATCAGCGTGGATCCTGCCGGCTGGTGCATGGGTTGCAGGATGACCTCATCCTTCGTGTGTACGCTCTGGAAGTGCTCACACAAGGCGATGGACTTCTGGGAGTTTGTCATTCTCCGTGTCACGCTCTGGAAGTGCTCACACAAGGCGATGGCTTTCTGGGAGTTTGTCGTGACGGGGATGTTGTCCTTTTGCCTGATACAGCCGATTGCTTCCCTTGTAGTCGACTTAGACTGTTCATACCCGTAGAAGGCCTTAGGGTAGCGCTTTGCTTTCTTGGCCAGGGAAAGCTCAAAAGCTCTTTTGGCATCCAGGAGGATGCGGTCGAAGGACTTTCGTTCTCGTAGGTACTGAAGGTGTCTAAGNCGCCTGTAGCACAGAGTCGTTGCCAACTGGCCCGCTTTCTAACAAGGGCTTTTTTCATTCAACTGGACCATCAGGGTGGGGTGGTCCGCGACCTAACGGGAAACAGGGGTGCGAAACTATTGGTGAGAGTCAGCAGGTTATCCCTGGTCAAATCCCAAAACTCCACAGTCCCATAGTTTGCTTCTGACCAGACCATGGTTTGAGCCGCAGCCTGGAGACATGCGGTATGCATGCGCCCATAGCGTCGCCTCAATTTGACTTGAGAAAGCGGAAGAGCACAGTCGTATTGGCACCGGATACTGGCGTGGTCACTTCTGCTTAGCGGTGCGGCTATGGCAGTGATCCTGATGTCATTCCTGCTTTTGGTAAACATAAACCTAAGGTACTGGGAGAGTTACCTAGTCGCCATCGGGTGGGATCGGTGTATTTCATGCTGAATGTTTATAAAATCCTTCCAAACCCATAATGATTTATGGTGAAATAACTTTATATGTGTATTACTTCTCTATTTACATTTTTCAATCACAAACAACATACATCATTATTTATCTGTTAATTCGATGCCCGGCACATTTCTATTTTGCGTGGTTTAAGAACGGGAGCGACTGTTTCCCTGTCTCTGGACAGCTTGTTTGGCTCGCTTGCTTGAGTGCTCTCGGCCGCATATTTGAGGTTTGCTTCATTGTACATTTGTAATGATTTTGTTAATTCAGTACCCCAGAACATTGCGGATCAATTGTGTTTTTAATTTGGGATTCGTATC